GGGGGAAGGGGGGCACGCTGGGCCCGGGGGAGGCCTTCCCTGTCCCCTGCGGGCGTTGAGGAGGGCATCTGTGGGGCCGAGGGAATGTCTGTGGGGTCACAGTGGACTCCATCGTTCTGTATGGGCTTTGGAGGGGCCGGAGGGGCCGCCCTTTCCTCTGTGGGCGTTTGGGGAGGTGGGCATGGGGCCGCCTTTGTGTGCACCGGGAGAGGGCCATCTGTGGGGCTGGGGGTGCCTGCCCCGTGTTTACTTGGAGAAGGGGCCTTTGGGGCCTCTCCTACGCTCTCGTCCGTGTTTGGCTGGCGGCCGGACCTGTTACCCCTCGAGTTAGCGCTGCATCCCCTCATCTCTGACACGTTACCCCTTTCCCCTGCGGCGTGTAGGAGGCCTGGTTGCTGGACTGTGTCCAGCGCCCTTTGGTGAGGCTGCTGCTTGTGACCACCGCCACCAGAGCAGGAAACATCCTACTGGCGGGGTGCTGGTTGGTCACGCTGCCCTCCTACGCGTGTTCTGGGGTTGTAGGCTGGTGCATTATTATTCTTAAGCGTGTTTTTAGGCTTGAGTCTATCTTCCCTTTCCTCCCTCCTTTCTGGCCCCACCGTGCTTGGAAAGGGAGCAGGAGTTCTAAGGAGTTTTTCCCTAAATGGGTGCAGCAGGTGAGACCTCAGCCTGCATCTGCTCGTAGGCACCTTTTTGTGTTGTGACTTTCCCCGTCTCTGACCCTGCTCTCTCTGTACTGCCTTCTCAGTGACCTTAGGCTTTTCGGGGAAGGGGTAATAATAGTGCTAACAATCTTGGGCATAAACCTGAGAACACACCTCTGTAGGGAGAGTGTTTTGAATTACTTTGCCAGGGTTGCTGCTAAACCCAAATCCTGTTGTCGCAGCAGATTATGGCTTTAAGGCAGAAAATGCACCTGTGCTCCCTGTGCCTGCCTTATCCTCGCCACAAAGTCGCAATCCTTCCTGCTGCCATTAGCAGCAGTCACGAACTGTTAATCGGAATAAGGTTGTGTCTGGGGAATCAACAGAAAGGCTCAGCTCTCCCTTTTGATGTGTGTCTTTGTTTACCCCAGTGCCCAGACTATAAGACTGCACTGCTGACAGTCACCTGGATTTAAGGGTTATAAATAATTCTGCCTCGGTTTGTAGAAGCATTTTCAGTGATGTAAGCATCAAAACAGTGAATAACTGGGCTCAAAAACTGTGGGTTAGTCTGTAAGCGAAGCTTCCTGTAAAAAGTTGTTACTTATTATTCTTCAGGCTGGATTTACACATGCCTTTATTACAGCGGAGCAATTTTATTTAGGGAAACAGTTACCTTTTACTAAAATAAATAGACTGATACTGTTTACAACCTCTGTGTACTTATGTCACTAAAAAAAAAAATGCTCTTTTGCAAAGCAGCCTGTACAACAATTGCTTATACTGGCACAATTGTCTTTATTTTCTATAATAACATCCACGTTAGAGGGTCTTCTATGGTCTGGTCTTATGACTGAAATGGAGCAGTTTATGTAGGCTAATCCTAATTGAAACCTGTGCAGAAGGCTGTGTTGAGACTTATTTCAGCTTATCGTAAAGCAATTAAGAAGACATTGAAGTTATGCTTTCATGGAGATAGGCGTGTGCTGAATTAGCTAAATTGGTGTTTGTTTCAAGATAGGCTTATTTGCAGCACATGAAATGCTTTTTGATCTTTTTCAGTACTGTCTTTTGCTGCTAGTGTTGAAGGGGATGAGTTTTCTGTTTGATTTGGGCTTAAAAAGAATCATCTTTCTGGTAAGATTTCATCACATGGTTTTATTTTTTGGGAGCTTTCTATTTTGTAGTTATTCTGTATAAAGTTGAGTGGAATTCAGTGGGC